GAAAGGTATGAAGTAAACGGTCTTCGGTACGATGTAGTAGAGAGTGCAGAAGTGCATAAAATGTTACAAAATGGTACGTTATTTCGAAATGTATATTTAACCTTAATCTAATGTATTCTATCTTCCTAATGTAGACCAAAAAACTAATAATAAATAAATAATTAGGTTAGTATGAACATGTGAGTGTTTTTTTCAGACGTTACATTCTGTTACGAATATTACCTGTTCTGTTCTGTTCTGTAACGACAGGTGGAGTATGCCATTTGGTACAATACCAAATATAATTCGACACAACTGTCAATAGAAAAACGAACGTCGGCAACGTAGGTATTTAGAAAAATCTTCTTTATCGACGTCGATCAAGTTCCTCGACGTGTTTCACTTCACCTTAAATGACATTCGTAATTTGCACTGAAGAAGTTTTAACGGATTCCATATAATTATACAATTTAAAATATAATTTGATTGAAGTCGGATAAAATTTCGAATATGAGTAGTACTTGCTAACACCGTTATAAAAACGTACATTAACAGAGAGTTAGATGAAAAAGAAGTTGTGAAAATTAGAGCGTTCTATATTTTTATTATTAACATGAAAAAGGGTTAATTCATGAAAAAAAAAAATAGGTTAATGCCTCGTTTATTTATTTAATGTTTAAATAAGGCACTGCAGGTTCGCGAATTGTTTTGTAGCCGACAATGAAGCTAAAATAAGTATGAACATTGAAAACGGAAGTATTAAAATATCCTAAACATCAATCATTCCAATGTATCGCATAAATTCTCGCCGCCAACACGACTTCACATTTCCATTAGTTGAGGGTAATTTAACTTTAACTAAATAAGTGTTTTCTTCGAAATTGTATTGAATCTCCTTATTAATTGCTTTTAACTTACAATTAACTTTCTACCGGAATTTATTATATGTGATTAACTTCTGACTCGAAAGAAAACATTCATTTCTGACAAGCCAAAGATGGCGCCGTGTTGTCCTCCACTGACTTTTCGCGAAGCGAATACTTTCTTCGATGAGGACTTTTAACGTCGTGTCCGAAATATTTTCATAACTGCATACACATTCATCCACATATATGATTATGACAATTAACGATGTCGATATATTTCTGGTACCGCAAATAAAGTCACGAAAAAGGAGGGCATGAAGGCGAAGATCCTTCTTGCAGATAGCCGCCATTTTCCTTCTTCAATTAAACATCCTATGAATTGATGCCGAATTCTTCTGAGAGGACCCTTAAACAATACATGCAAATTAGTTATTTTCTTGCTAATTCTCCTTTCTATTCCTCATCTTTAAAAATGCCTAAGAAGATAACTTTTGTTTTTAAAAAGGATTAATGTGTACCTTTACTAACCATTGTCAATCTGTACCATTTGACTAGTAATGATTGAAATGTTTACACTATTCAAACGACATAAACAATACATGCAAATTAGTTATTTTCTTGCTAATTCTCCTTTCTATTCCTCGTATTTAAAAATGCCTAAGAAGATGACTTTTGTTTATAAAAAGGATTAATGTGTACCTTTACTAACCATTGTCAATTTGTACCATTTGACTAATAATGATTGAAACGTTTACACTATTCAAACGACATAAACACGAGAAATGTATACAACATACAATAGGTTTTGCAAGCTCATAAACAAAAATGTTAGGAGATATTTTTTTACAACATCCTAAAGACATCCGCCAGGAGGGTTTTAACTAGACAATGTCCATTACAAACAGCCTGGCATAATGAAAGTTTTTGCATCATTATGTATATGTGGGATTCAAATGCAAAGAAAATATGAAATCATATTTTTTATGAAAAGGTCATTTAAGGTCATGATAAGAAGTATTAATCATCACTTTTTACAGTATCTCGGAAAGGTTTTTGAAACAATGACATTCGTACCGATCAAAGTCACGACCGGAGCTGGAAGTTCCCGTTTAGAGAGACTTTAAGGTTTTGTCGATATGCCTTAAGGTGGTATCTGGTACAGATTCCGTCAGAGCCTTTCGGAATCCTTCGCAACGAACAAGGAGACGAAACATTCTTTTCGCATGGTTCCTGGAAGAGAAAAGCTCATGAAAACAATCGAAAATTTCAGATATAAAAATAAAAATAAAAATAAAAATGATTTAAGGTGAAGTGAAACCCCCTTCAAATCAGGCAATTCGAATACGACACTTTTTCTTAAGGGTATTAGACCAAACTGTCCGAAACTTTGACATATCACTCCTGATCATCTAAGAATTGCCCTGACACATGCAAAATTTGGATTTTTAGAAAAAATTTTTTAACTCAGCCCAGACTAGAACTAAAATGGCGTCAATCTCTGATATTTCAATCAATATAGAATTATCGAAGGCTCTGATATAAGAAACGAAATGGTCAGGACAATTTTACGACAATTTAGAACACTCTGGTAACTGATAAACTCGCATTTGAACGGGATAAAGGCAAAAAAAGTGTTTTATGCGCTTCTATGCCAAAACGATGGGAATACGAGGTCACGGAGTGAAAATTTAATTGTCCTGGAAGTCACAGATGGCGCAGGGGTCCCTCTGCGGTTAATTAGGGCCCCAGAAAGCATGAATCCAGAGGATTTCTGGAGTTTTACTTGGATTTCTTTATAATTATTGTACGAAAACGACAGGTGGAGTATGCCATTTAGTGCAACACCCAATATAATTCGACATAGCTGTCAATATAAAAACTAACGTCGGCAACGTAGACATTTAGAAAAATCTTCTTTATCGACGTCGATCAAGTTCCTCGACGTGTTTCACTTCACTTTAAACAATTTTAGTAGTTAATTATGATGATAGACAAGCAGAAAATCTCTGTCAGAAGGTTAGATCTCTGCACAAATCCTACGCGACATTGTGTTAATGTTAAAAACGTGAAGGGAATGTTTTAGGGGCAAGGGGGAATTTTCTTACCGTGCATCTAAATTTCCGTCTATTAAAAGTTTTGCTCCAGTTGATAACAATTTGTCTCTGACGTCACGCTGTAACGTCATGGCAGTCTCCGGACCAACTCTTTCGACAATATCGGACAAAAGTCGAGCAGTTGTGGCACGTACAATGGGATTTTGATGCCTGGAATTAGTAACGAGTGGATTTTGAAAGGAGAAGAAATGAAATATAGAGTCGAATAGTCGACAAAATTTACAAAATACTCACGACGCGCCACGATAAACAATTATTCCAATTATTCGGTGGGGGGAAAGGTGTTCGACCATCTTGTCTAGTGCAGCGTGACAGTCTACTCGAAGAAATCTATTTGTATCGGCAGTTCTATGCAGCAAAGCACCGGTTATGTTGTCCAGATCCTTCGTAACAGATGCAAGAAAAAAATTAATTACGCTGAATTTAGAAAATGAAATCTTTAGTACGCATGATTTGTTATCCACGACAACATGGAAAAATTACTTTCAATACTTCTATTCAGCATTATATCATATTCTTTTTTCTATTTACCATAAGCATATCCCGTCAGATTAGAGACTTGTTATTTGTAATCGATAACAAATAAAAAATTATACATTAAATCCGTAACTTATGGCGAACTTGTGAATTTCATGAAATTTAGTAAAGGTCCAGAATAACAGTCATTTTAAACGTTTTCATGAAGTAACTTTTCATGAAATCATTTGAAATAATTAGGGCCCCAGAAAGCATGAATCCAGAGGATTTCTGGAGTTTTGCTTCGATTTCTTGATAGTTATTGTACGAAAACGACAGATGGAGTATGCCATTTGGTACAATACCCAATATAATTCAACCCAGCTGTCGATATAAAAACGAACGTCGGCAACGTAGGCATTTTGAAAAATCTTCTTTATCGACATCGATTAACTTCTTCGACGTGTTTCACTTCACCTTAATACAATTTTGAATTACATACCTGATCGATTCCTCGAGCTTGGACACTGAAAATGTTCCCAGCTGCTAAACAAGCAGCTCTCGAGACTTGAGAGCGGAGATTTTTTATCTGTTTTCCCAAAAGTCGCCCTATTGTTCCCGGAGTACAAGAATCCAACTGTTCCGGATTTTGTTTGACAATCTGAGATAAGGATTTCAGTCCTTTCAGCGCCACCTCCCTAAAAAGTTCGACAGTATAAGAAAGACCAAAGTTTGAATTAAGGGAGAATGGTACATCCCCACTGAACACCAAACCTAACAGTTACGTAACTTAAAACTAACAAATAACANTAACATTAATATAACATGTTACATAACATGTTACCTTACTGAGTGGGAAATAATAACTAACATCTAACATCCATGTTACTTTTATGCTACATAACATGTTAGTTTCGAAAACGTAACATTTACCCAACAGTTATTTAACAGTGTTCACTGGGATAAGGTCGAATTGTTTAAATGGAAGGATTTTACCAGTCGTTGCTCTCCAACTGAACAAAACAGTCGTGCAGAAGTTGTTTCGAAGTCCTTTCATTCAACTTGTCCGAATTGCGAGTTGACTCCAAGGAAGGGATGCGAATTGAGTTGATTCGGGCCTTTGGAGTATTTTGGAGAATTCTGGATGGAAGTCTCTTAGGTTGCATTTCCATGGTTTCGATCGGCTTGTCCTTATTATAACAGATACCAAGAGAGTGAATTATTATCGTTTTCTTAACAAAAACATATTTTATATAGATCCTTTTTCATATAAACATATACATATATTTACATAATGATTACAATAATATTTTTCTGCGTGTATATGTGCGATTGTCAATGGTAGTTTATACATGAGACGACTGTAATATGCACATGTCGCTATTGTATTTTCTAGCTACCCCAACGGTAATTAATGCGTTACTGCACGTTACTTTATGTATCAACAGGAAAGGGTACACTAGCGAACGTTATCATATACACACGTTATGTGGTAGCTATTGATTCAGTTTACGGGTTTATGCTGTCAAGCTTGTAAATATAACTGTCGTATTGTTGTGACTGCAATCATTCTTTGTAATAATGTGCGATTGTCAATGGTAGTTTTTACATGAGCTGTCTATAATATACACATGTCGCTATTGTATTTTCTAGCTACCCTAACGGTAATTAATGCGTTACTGCACGTTACTTTATGTATCAACAGGAAAGGGTACACTAGCGAACTTTATCATATACACACGTTATGTGGTAGCTATTGATTCAGTTTACGAGTTTTTGCTGTCACGATTGTAAATATAACCGTCGTATTGTTGTAACTGTAATCATTCTTTGTAATAATGTGTACTCCAATGAAATTGTACATTTGACAGTTTTAGCAGGGTAATAGTTACTTTGTAGAACTGCTGTCCTTATATTTCCCAGCGATTGCTGTTGTATCTATCCCAGTTGTAGTAATTATAACAACTTTTTTCTCTCCGTGTAGGACTGTCGGAGAACGGGGAAAAGCGTGGGCGAGATGACCAACAAAGGTAAACGTTACCGGATCGGGAAAAACCGCGTGACTGCATTTTTTAAGTCAGGAACATACTGAATGCCCTTTTTGGGGTACTTTATAAACGTTGGTAATATGTAATTGAATAATATATGATGGTAAATAATTACAAACCTGAACTCTGATGTTAGCCATGGCAGTGTCATCATCGGTTTCGCTACTTTCGTAATGGATGTTTTCAGGCACGCCAGTAATATGAAATGGAAACGCGGTAAACGTGGGCTCTTTTGACGAAGGCAATTCCTGATTCTCACTTTTAGAAGTGGACGATCTCGGTGACTGTAAATAAAAAAGGATCGACATTTATGTACCATTAATCAAACGTATTCTCAACCGCCCAACAAAATTTGTAGATACTTTCCATTTCTGTCGTCCGCGAATATTATTATAATATCGTCGGTATCTTGTAGAAAATAAGTTGTATAATGTCCTTCGAGCATCTAATTTAATTTAACAACATTTTCATGTACGTTTATTTAAGGTGAAGTGAAACACGTCGAAGAACTTGATCGATGTCGGTTATAAAAGATTTTCTAAATACCTTCGTTGCCGACGTTAGTTTTTATTTTGACAGTTGTGTCGAATTATATTGAGTATTGTACCAAATGGCATACTCCATCTGTCGTTTTCCTACAATAATTATCAAGAAATCGAAGCAAAACTCCAGAAATCCTCTGAATTCACGCTTTCTGAGGCCCTAATTGACTGCAGAGGGACACCCTGCGCCATCTGTGATTTCCAGGTCAATTAAATTTTCACTCCGTGACCTTGTATTACCATCGTTTTAGCATAGAAGCGCATACAACACTTTTCTTGCCTTTATCCCGTTCAAATGCGAGTTTATCGATTACCAGCGTGTTCTAAATTGTCGTAAAATTGTCCTGACCCTTTCGATTCTCATATCAGAGCCTTCGATAATTGTACATTGATCAAAATATGAGAGCTCGACGCCATTTTGGTTCTGGTCTGGGCTAAGTTAAACAATTTTTTCCAAAAATCCAAATTTTGAATGTGTCAGGACAATTCATAGATGATCAGGAGCGATGTGTCAAAGTTTCGGACAGTATGGTCTAATACCCTTTAAAAAAAAGTGTTGTATTCGAATCGACTGATTTGAAGGGGTTTCACTTTACCTTAACGTTGTGTCAACCGCTTGGGCTATTAATGGTTTTATTTTTTACTAATTAGTAAATTGATTTTCCTACATCAGATGCCACTTGTTTTATTCATCATATATTACATTAACATCATTCAGAAATTGAAGTATCCAAATTGCAGATTTCCCTTGGAAATACATTTGAATATGAATATCGTTCATGTTCTGTACCGTTTCATTATCAGAATTACCAATTATACGACCGTTTCATTTCCAATGGTGGTGGCATCCACGCAGGAATTTTTTAAAACAAGATTATGCAAAATTTGAGGACGGAAAGATGATTCGTTGATTAAAGATAAATTGCATCGCATTTAGCGAAAAGTTTAGTAACGAATAATCTGAAAATACTAGGATTCGCAGATCAGCGTGTAAATAAGTAATTCCAATATTATCAGGTGTAATCAAATAATATTAATTAATTGATAAATTGACATTTGTCGTTAATGACTTTCTCACCGTTTCTATGTTGTTGGGCAATGTCGCACTGGAATCTGCGTTTCTTGAGATATCTTCATGGAAGGATGCTCTAGAATTTGTACGAGATGCGGCAAGATGTTCGAAATCAACTGTGTCGATGAGTTTTTGGGATTGCGAGGAAACCACAGATCTAAGGGAAGCTTCATCGAGTGGAATCGAATTCGACATCTCAACTGGGTGTCCTTCCAATGAGGCGAAGGATTCCGCTGCGCAAATCACCTAAAAGAAGAAATATATGTAAATGCACACACTGTTCCTTCTTGCAATTTATTATTTAGCGTGCAGACTCCAAAGTTCCCTACGATGACATTTATCTTCGATTTAACACTAGATTGCCGGAACGAGTCAATTTGACTCATTTACGATTTTATTGCTGTATATATAGAAAAACTTAAATAATTTATTTTTAAAACATATGTTGGTTTTTAATAAAATTATGAAATGTATACAAATGCTGATTCCTTCCTCTCCCCCNCGAAATTACATTGAATTAATTTCGTTTGAAATAATGTGGCGTGAAATAACTGATAAACTCATTTCTTTTCAATTTTGACTTAGACCACTTTCATAATTATGGGCACATATGTGCTATACCTATTTTGACGGATGTGAGTCAAACTGACTCATTAAATATTTTTAAAGTTGGTCGTTTTATCCACATGTAACTTATTTCTTGTCCGTAGAAATTTTTTGTAAACAATCCGATTCGATAGTTTTCATGTTCAAACTTGTAAATTTACTGGTTAGATATCATAAGATTAATATATGTCATATTTTGTTGGAAAAAATGTGATATTAATGCATACGCGCATATACATTATCAGTCATTGTTTGCTAATCGAATGAAATCCTAATTGTCTTTAAGTAAAATCACATAGTTTATCATTACATATTTTCATTGAAAGTCTGATTTATCATTTAGTATCTAACTATTGTCAAGTACCAAAAAATAAATAAAAATAAAAAGTTATATAATTTTGGATAAAATTGCGTGAATGTTTTTTATTAAATGTATGAAAAATTAACATTATTTTAAGGTAACTGAAATTATAACATTAATATAACATTAATATAACATGTTACATAACATGTTACATAACATGTTACCTTACTGAGTGGGAAATAATAACTAACATCTAACGTCCATGTTACTTTTATGCTACATAACATGTTAATTTCGAAAACGTAACATTTACCCATATGACAGTGGTTACTAGGTTCTTACCGATGATTCGAAAGTGACGTCGGATCTCGGCCATATTTCAGTTGCGCTAGTCGATCTTTTTAAATGGTTCTCCTTTGAGCGAGCCGAATCGGATTTTCTGGATTCCCCGGAAGGCCTTGAGGGATAGTTGCTCTCCGTACTAAAATCGGACGGAGACGAGGACGCGGAACGTTTCTTTTCGTCTCTTCCGAGGTCGGCAACGTCCTCCTCTGAGGATTCATTGTCTTCGAAAATGTTCCCAGCGAAATTCCGAGGAATTCGCTCTCGGTGCGAGTCGAATTCTGCTCTTTCAGCGGACCGGAATTCCTCATCGCTGCTGGATCCCTCTGAATTTTCGACCTCCAGAAGCTCTGGACTGATTTGAGCTTCCTGCGGCATGTTTTCCGAAGAAATCTGCAATTTTAGCTTTCTTTACAATTTTATGAATATTATTTAAAGATATTTCATTTAAATGAGCGTGATTTTTTACAGTGTAACTACATTTTTATAAGTCTGTGAAAGCTAAATATAAACTATTAATCTGAGTAGAAAACTATCAATGTAATGTTTTCGAATAGTTTAGATTTCTATACAGGTTACCTAGACTTCTATGATATATGTACTGAAAATATAGGCGTGAAAAAGATTTACATATATATTCTCGGATATTTTTATTATGCATACCACAGATAATGTAAGTCTTCTAAACTTGTGTCCTAATGTGTACGTCCACTATAAGTGTATTATACTTCATACGGTGCCTGGTAGTACATCATAATTTACCCAGTGGTAAAAAATCATGATGTATGGTCACCAGCCAAAGCGGAAGTAAATAAAATATCAGAGTATGGACGAAATTAATAGTTTTATCAAGATGGAATTTAAGGGCGCTCACCACTCTAGCGATTTTGCAGGGCCTCACGGGGACAACGATTCCGAACGTATTTCTAAACCGATCGAGCTCAACGAGTGCTCATATTAAAGATGAAATGTTGATCCGTGTTTATATGGGAGCGATTTTCGATAAGTGGTCATTTTCATATAAAAAAGTGC